TCTTCAACCATTTGCACGAGTTTCACGGAACGAGGGCGGATCGTTTTCAAAATGTGGTTCTCGCCTCAGCGCCGCGCGCATTCGTTTTCAAACATTTGCACGATCGCGGATTGAGGGCGGGTAGTTTTCAAAATCTGGTTTTCGCTTTCGCGCCGCGCGCATTCGTTCCAACAGTTTGCAAGAGCTTCACGGATTTTGCGCGGGTTGTTTTCGAATCAAATATGGTTCTCGCATCAGCGCCGCGCGCATTCGATTTTAATCATTTGGCAAGCATCACGGGATTGAGGGCGATTTCTTTTCAATGTTTGGTTCTCGCCTTGGCGCCGGGCACATTCATTTTAAGGCTGTGCAGATTTTCCGGGTTATCGTGGTGCTTTGGAGCGGTTCAGGGCTGTCAGGGCGCAGCGCTTACAGCATTAACGTCTCAGAAGTAGCGATCTGGAGCGGTTCACGATCGTCAAGACACAAAAGTCAGGGTGACTCGTGATGTTGAAGTCCAGAGAATGGTGTTCTGGCACGCTCCAGGATTTTCAATTGTCCGCCAACGGGGCATTTCTCCTCAGTGGAAATGAATCTTTGTAGGGACCTATGAAGAGGAAGCTTGGAGGGAGGATTTATTCCAATACCTTTGATGAGTCTTGGGTTTGCATTAGTCCTCCTTCTCCTCCACCTCCTCCTCCTCTCTCCTGCTACCCCGACCCCGCCCCATCCCCCCCCTCCTTCCCTTCTCTACTGTTCCTCCTGCACCAGTCGCCCCCCTGCCACGTAGCTATCCCTGCTGCTCTGGCTGCTGCCACTCCTTATCCAAGTCCTCCCGTGTCGTCGTTCTCCTCTTTTTCCCCCTTCAAGGGGCATCGACTTGGTGGGATCGACTCAGGCGCCGACAGGGGCCTGATAGCCTACCCCGCCCAGGAACTTGCGGTGTCGCGGTCGGTGGCTTATCGCCGATCTATCGTCGATGTACTGCCGACTCCAGGTCGAAGGTCCCCCCCCGAGTCTGAGTCCCCCCCCCTATCGTTACCCCTTGTGCACCCGCGCGCGCGGGAGCGCGCGTGGGTGGGGTTTTTGCGGGGCTGCGGCCCGGGGAAGGGGATGTCGAAACCGAAGGGCACGGGTCGGAAGAGGATCAGGAGGACGAGGCGCAGGAGGACGATTAGCAGGAGGAGGGCAGCGACAGGGAGGAGGAGGAGGAGGAGGAGGAGGAGGAGGGAGGAGGAGGAGGAGGAGGAGGGAGGAGGAGGAGGAGGAGGAGGAGGAGGAGGAGGAGGAGGAGGGAGGCGGGAAGGGTGAGAGAGGAGACAGGGAAGGAGGAGGGAGGGAGGGGGAGGAAGAGGGCCCTTCCTACCCCTTCCACTCTGGAGGCCTCGGTGAAGAAGACTGGCCGCCTTGTGGTGGCGCACGAGGCACCCGTCACCAACGGCTTCGGGGCCGAGATCACCGCCAAGATGCAGGAGTCATTCGCCGAGGAGGAGGAGGAGGAGGAGGAGGAGGAGGAAGAGGAGGAGGATGAGAGGAGGAGGAGGAGGAGGAGGAGGAGGAGGAGGAGGAGGAGAGGAGGAGAAGGAGGAGGGGGAGGAGGAGGAGGAGGAGAGAGCCTCCGGGCTCTTCCAAGAAGTCCCTTGTCCTCTTGGAGGGCCCCTCCTGTGACCCTGCTCCCTGGTGCGTACCGCCAACGTGCCCAGACCTTTGAACGAGGAAGGAGGAGGAGGAGGAGGAGGAGGAGGAGGAGGAGGAGGGAGGAGGAGGAGGAGGGACGAGGAGGACGAGGATAAGGAGGAGGAGGAGGAGGAGGAGGAGGAGGAGGAGGAGGAGGAGGAGAGAGGAGAGGGAGGGAGCGCTTTCTTCCTTCCCCTCGAGCCACACGTCTTGTCCCAGCTCGGGCTGGGGCCTAGACCTGGGTTCGGGCTCGGGCCCCGAGCCGTGCCCGAGCCCGGACGAGCAGACCAAGCCCGAGCCCGAGCCCGAGCCCGAGCCCGAGCCCGAGCCCGAGCCCGAGCTCGAGCCGAGCCCGAGCCCCAGCCCGAGCCTCGTCTGCGCCCGCGCCCGCGCGCGCCCTGGAGCCAGAGGCCGAGCCTGAGCCCCCGAGCCCGAGCCCGAGCCCGAGCCCGGGCCCGAGCCTGAGCCCGGGCCCAAGCCCGAGTCCGAACCCAGGTCCAGGCACCAGCCCGAGCCGTGCCCGAGCCCGGACGAGCCCAAGCCCAAGACCGAGCCCGAGCCCGAGACCGAGCCCGAGCCCGAGCCGGAGCCCGAGCCCGACCCCAAGCCCGAGCCCAAGCCCGAACCCGATCCCCAGCGTGAGCCTGAGCCAGAGCCCGCGCCTGCGCCCGCGCCCTCGCGCCCCCCTCGGTGGCGCCCCCAGGAGCGATGCTTCCTCCACCTGGAGGCGCCCATACAGCGGGTGTGCGGCTTCGACACGCACTTTCCATTCGCGTTCGAGGAGTTCTACGTGCCCTCGGCCGCGAGAGTTTTCGACGCCATCAAGAAATCCATGTCCTTCTAGTTTTTCCCGGAGCATCGCCTCCCGCAGTGGAGAGCAGACAAATTTAACGTCCCTCTTTTTTCTTGCTGTGAGCGGGCGCGGCCGTCGAGCGTAGCTTTTTTTGTCGCTGGAGGCTTCAAGCTTGCCATGGTAATGCATGGGCTTGGTTTTGATGGCGCCCGGACCCGCAGCTGTACACGATGTGTGATTTTGGCCCCCATCGCATTTTGAGCAATGCGGGGATGTGTTTAGTCTCTGCAGCAGCCCCATGTAGTGCTGCAAGGAGCTGCTCGGCGGTGCTCTTCTGCTCATGCCTCCTGCCGACGTACGGACCTGCAGTCGGACGGAGGTATAGTTTCGAGGTCTGTTCGGGGAGGGTGCTCATAGTGTTCTTCGTGCTTGTTGGATGTTTTTTGTGCATCCTGGGGAGGGTACCCTGGGATGTTTTGTGCGTGTTGGCAAGCAGAGGGTCTCATGTTCTTGAGGGATGTTCTTCTGGCCGACGTCGTGTTTTTTGGTTCATGCTCACAACGTCGACCCCAGGAGGTCTGGACCCCTTCCCCGGGACCGGCTTTTCATCCTGAGTCGTTTATTGACGGTCCCGAGGCCAGGTAAGGGCCCTTGGAGGCCGAAGATGGCGAAACAACTCCCGTCGCGATGGCTTCACAGCGCTACGTTTTTGAGGGATGTTCTTCTGGCCCAGATCCGACTGTGCATGCCGTCATCTACCTCCAAGCAGTGGCGAAGCGTCCTGTCTTGCCTATAGACCCAACAAAGAATGTTTAAGAACCTTTTGTGGTCTGCGCGAAGTGTTGTTCGAACATCTCTTGCCGAGATTGTCTTGCTTTCGCACATCGGGCTCATGCTCTAGGAGCAGTGTTATTGTTCTTAGAACATTTGCGGGTTCAAAAGAACATCTCGTGGTAGGCTTATAGGAATGCTGGGGCGGTCGGTCCCTGCTACGGTGGAGGCGTTTGTTAAGGAATCGTCCCAGGAGGCCACAGACCCTGGAGGATTCCTTAGCCAGTGAGGGCGGCGGTGATATCCATGGCCGATCCACGATTGGCCTTCCACTGGCTTCCAGACCCTGGATTCCTTGTCGAAGGTTTCCTTATCCAGTGCCCCCACCGTAAATCGGCACGAACGAAATGGGTACTTGAAGAACGGGCTCACTGCCCAACAGCAGTCCCTGTTCGTTTTGAACAGGACTCGCTGTCCGCGCCGCCGCGGCCTGTGCCCACTTGAGGCCGAAGGCCGCCTGCTTAACAGCGGCCGCTGTTGGCTTGGGGCAACATCTGTTGTGGGGCACTGTGCCCATTTTTTTCCGCACCCACTTCGGTCGTCCAAAGCACATGCCTCCGACTCCTCCCGCTCGCATGCACGGCCGGCGCGCTCCTTCTAATATCCGGAGGGGGCCGCGCCTTCCGCCGCCGGGCCGCCCCTGCGGGCGGGAGCCGCCCCCGTGGACTCCTCGGGGCAGCCTCGGGGGCCTCCTCGGGGGCAGCCTCGGGGGCCTCTCGGGGGCCTCTCGGGGGCCTCTCGAGGGCGACCCCTCGGGGCGTCGTGGGGCCTCTCGGGGGTCTCTCGAGGCCGCCTGGCGAGGCCTCAAGATGGCTCCCAGAGGGCCCATGAGGGCTCCAAGGGAAGCCCAAGAGAGCCCCAAGACGGCCCCAAGAGCGCCCAAGAGCGCTCCAAGAGGGGTCCAAGATACGAATCTACTTAGGCACTCTAGAAAGGCAGGGCTAATGAAGTACCCCTGGGGCATTTGGGCGCTTCTGGGGCCATCTTCGGGCCTCCTGGGGCGACCCTCGGGACATTTGGCTCTCCTGGGGCCATTTTCGGGCCTCCTGGGGCCTGCCTCGGGGGGCCGCTTTGGGGGCATGTGCGGGGGGCTTCTGCGTGCCCCGCCGAGCGGTCCGTGCGGCATCTCGGGGCCTTCGGGGGGCCATCTCGGGGCAACCCTGGGGCGATCCTGGGGGCTCGCGGAGCCGTCTTGAAGCGAGTCTTCCATCGCACCTTGACGCTCCATGCGTTTCGCTGTCTTTGCTCCAGGCTTCTTGGGGCCTCCCTGGGCCATCCCAGAGGCACCTTGAGGCGTCTTGGGGCCGTCTTGGGGTCTAGCTTCCCACGGGCCTCGCGGGGCCGTGCTAGGGGTGCCCTCCTGACCGCCTGGTCGCTTCCCGTTGACCGTCCCACTGCGCAGCGGAGCGGCCCTGGGAGGCCGAGGCCCCTCCCCCCCTGTTTTCTTGGCGCCGCGGTAGGCAATCCTCCTCTTCCTCCTGGCAATCCCCCTCCTCCTCCTCCTCCTCCTCCTCCTCCTCCTCCTCCTCCTCCTCCTCCTCCTCCTCACTGGGGGGGGGCTCCACACCCAGACCCCTTCGGTTCGGCCTCTGGGGGCCCTCACCGGCCCTCGAGGCCGTCAGAGAACGACTCGGGATGAAAAGCCGGTCCAGGGGAATGGGTCGAGACCTCCAAGGATCGACGTAATGAAAAAAGCATGACGTCGGGGGTCTGGGCATACCCCTCCTCCTCCTTGAGCGTACCCAACTCCTTCTCCTCCTCCTCCTCCGCCTCCTCCGCCTCCTCCTCCTCCTCCTCCTCCTCCTCCTCGAGCGTACCAAACTCCTCCTCCTCCTCATCCTCCTTTTCCTCCTCCCCCTTCTCCTCCTCCTCCTCCTCTTCCTCCTCCTCCTCCTTCTCCTCCTCCTCCTCCTCCTCCTCCTCCCCGTCCCGCGGCAGACGGGAGGCAGTTGCGGACGGACAGGCAGAGAACACGCACGGCCCCGCGCCCCGACATGGGGGCTGGTCGATACAGTGACATCCGGGCAGTGCACGGCGCTCTCCCGTGCATGACAGCTCCCGCTGCCCTCGCTCGCTCTTCTTCTCGGACTCTCCTGCTGGGGCCATGGAGTCGACGAAGCCCTCTCGCCTCTCCGCCTCGTCCTCGTTGCAGTCCTGGCCCGTGTCGCCGTCCTCGTCGTCCTCGCCGTGCTCCTCTGTTCCCGGCGCTTCCTCTGCTGCTGCTTCTACTCCTCCTTGAAGTGGAGGGGGAGAAGTGGGAGGCAGGGAGGGATGGGGGAAGGGAGGGAGGAGGGGGGACGGAGTGAGGGCGGGAGGGAGGACGTCCGTCAGGGTGTGTGGGTCACATCGTTCATGTTATCCCAGCTGAGGCAGAAGCTCAGACTATAGTACAGCAGCTCGCGTGGTCGTCACTTGTTGCGTCTTACCAGCGTGACCGAAGGATGGTGGTGGAGGGGTGAGTTTCCAGCTCCCAGTAGTTCCGAGTTTGATTGTTCAGGCATGGTCAGGTGGATCAGTTGCCTTCCAGGCAGTGTGAGGCAAATAGGGCTCATCACGCTCGGCACGTATACATATTGTGTGTGTGTCGAGAGAGAGAGAGAGAGAGAGCGAGCGAGAGAGAGAGAGAGAGAGAGAAATAGAGATAGCGATACAAGCATACACATGTAGAGAGCGAGTGAGAGGTAGAGATGTATAGATAGAGTTATCAAACGTTAGATGTACAGGTCTAATTGGGTTAGCCAGCGGTGACCCCGACCAGTGTGTGTCTAGCAATATGTGTGGTGCAATCTGCGTGGATCACTATATGTGGTGTGTGCTATGTGTTGCAGTAGGTGCGGTGCAATGTATGTGGTGCAATCTAGGTGGTGCGACCCATGCTGTACAATCCATGCTGTGCACCCTTTTTCGTGCGATATAGGTTGTGCGACCTATGTGGTGCAATACATGCTTTGCAATATACGTTGCGCAATACAGGATGTGCAATCATGTAGTGCATTTGATGCGGTGCAACCTATCTTGTGCAACATGTGTGGTGCGATCTATGTGGTTCGGCATAGGTTGTGCAATCCATGGAGTGCGATCTATGTTGGGAAATCTATGTGGTGCAGTTTCTCTATACAGATGTATGGGTCAATCTTTGCGGTGCAACCTATGTGGTGCAATCAACCACTTGCTCAACTTGAAGCTGTCCTCTCCACTGCTCGTGCAAACATACCACCCTCCCACCGACAACTTGGTCGCACGGCTTCTGAAGGCAGTGACGGTGGGTACCAAATGGCACTTGGCAGCGACTCCGACGCCGACGACGACCGCGACAACGACGACGACGACGCCGCCGACAACGCCTACGACGACACCGACGACGTCTCCAACGACGTCGACGACGACAACGACGACGACGACGACACCGACGACGACGACGACGCCGACGACGACGACGACGATGACCACTCCGACGACGACGATGCCGCCGCCGACGACGACGACGCCGACGACGACGACGACCACGACGAAGACGACGACGACGACGTCGCCAACGAGGACGACGACGACGACAAGGGAGGAGGGAGGACGACGACGACGACAACGACGACAACGACGAGGGAGGAGGGAGGACGGCGACGACGCGAACGACGAAGAAGGAAGGAGGACGGCGACGCCGACGACGACAACGACGAGGGAGGAGGGAAGACGACGACGACGACGACGGCGACGAAATAGGAGGGACAACGACGAAACGCCGACGAAGACGACGAGGGAGGACCGACGACCAGGGCGACAACGACGACGGAAACGACGACGACGCCAAGACGACAACGGCGACGACGAGGAACGACAGAGGACGACGACGGCGACGACGACGACGAGGGAGAAGGGAGGACGGCGACGACGACGACGACGACGACGACGTAAGAGCGCGCGCGCTTTTGTTGAACATTCGTGTTGCGAAACCCTGTGTTGTTGTATGTTCTTTGGGTACTCGATTTTGAAACCCCTCCGACGCCCAAGATTTTTGAAGGATTTCGGCATGCGCGCGCGCGACGCCGCGCGCGTGTGCACTTCGCCCCATTTGTTGCAGAGAATTGTCGCGACGGCACGCGCGCACGGGTGTTCGAAATATTTCGACATGCGCGCGCGCGAAGCCCGTTTGGTAGTATTTGTTGAAGATCTTGAACAACCAATGGTTTCCTTAAGATGTCGCAAGAGCGCGCGCGAAAGCC